GCTATTTTAATAGTTTTACAACTTATGTGATTTTTATGTTTATGAGAAAATATACAACACAAAAATTTCATATCGCATGTCCAAACAAACCTTCAATTTCATTTCATGATTCCATATCATAATACCATATCATGATTCCATATCATGATACCATATCGCATGGCCAAACGGGCCCTTATTGTAGTAGTATTTATCCTAATTCTTGTATTATTATTTTGATATTCTATTTTCCCCATCTACACATATTTTCCAACAATCTAAGAAACCATGACAAATAATAATACTTCTGAAACTATTTCTGACACTACCAATGTCGTTGCTACCCCTGTTTCTCCAGTTCCAATTGTCCTACCATATGCCAAACAATTGCCCGATGAGTCAAATATTGATATTTTTGCAAATGAAAATTTCAAAAGGTGGAAGAACATGTTTTTTCATTGCTCGATGTTCATGGCGTTGCACATGTATAATTACATCCACAACTGGTCCAGACGTTGATAACAAAATTATGGAATCATGATGACAACATGCTAACAAGGTATGTCGTCATACTATATTACAAACTATTTCTAACATACTTTTTGATGTATACTGTAGCTACAAAGAAGCAAAAGTTATTTGGGAAGCCTTAATTAAGTAGTTCACTGCAGAAGATGCTACCAAACAAAAGTTTGTGGTCGAAAGATTTTACCAATGCCAGATGAGTAATGAAAGGAGATGAAAATTCAAATCAATGAATATCAAAAATTGCTTGAAGACTTGAAGGCCGAGGAGATCATTCTACCAGAAAAACTTGTTGTTGGAGTGTTGATTGAGAAATAGCCGGACTCATGAAATGATTACAATAATAACTTAAAGCATAAGCAAACAAATTTCACTATTAAGAAAATAGTGATTCACATTCTAATCGAAGACACCAACAGAAAGGAGTCATTCAAAGCAAAGAAGTAGGCATTCAAAGCAAACTTAGTACAAGGTCATAACATCAACAACAAAAGGTATGGTAATGAGTCTAATAATTACATGCCTTATAATTACAATTTTAAACAAAAGAAAGGTTCTTGTTTTACTTGTGGAAAATCATGTCATCATGTCTCAAAATGTAGGAGGAGAATAAAAAATGACAAAGAAAAGGATTATCCTCCTAAGGCTAATTTAGCTGAAGGAGATGAAATTATTGCAGGTGTCATTTCTCAAGTAAATATTGTAGCACATGTAAAAGAATGGGTGGTATTCTCTGGGGCTACTCGGCACATTTGTACAAATCGAGAAGCATTTGCCTCCTATATATTGATAGGGGATGACAATGAAGTAGTCTACCTTGAAGACTCAAGAACTATTAAAGTGTTGAGTAAGGGTAAAGTGCTCTTGAAACTTACTTCAGGAAAAACTTTAGCCCTTATGGATGTACTACATGTTCCTACAATGCGTCCTGATTTCTGTAGCCTTGCTTAATAAAGTTAGAGTGAAAGTGTCATTTGAATGTGAAAAAGATCATATTGACCAAAAATAATGTGTTTGTGGGAAAAGACTATTGCAAACTAGGGATTTTTGTACTTTATGTTTGTAATGTTGTGAATGAAAAAACATCCATTTCTACTTACATGGTTGAATCTATTTCTTATGGCATGCTAGATTAAGACATGTTAATTTCTCTTATATAAAAAATATGCAACCACTTGATTTGATATTTGACTTAGATTCAAATAATAGTAATAAATGTGAATATGTGCTGAAGTTAAAATTACTAAAAAGTATATAGAGAAACTAAATTATTGCCTTTAATTCACACTGATTTAGGTGATTTAAAACAAACAATGACTAGAGGTGGCAAAAGATATTATGTAACTTTTATTGATGGTTTTTCTAGATTTACATAGTTATACTTACTTAGGAATAAAGATGATGCTTTAATGTTTTTATTTCTTATAAAACTGAAGTGGAAAATCAACTTAAATAGAAAAATCAAGAGAATTAGATCTGATAGAGGTGGAGAATATTTATCTTTAAATGCCTTTTGTGAAAAGGAAGGAATTATTCATGAAGTAACTCCACCTTACTCTCTAGAATCTAATGGAGTAGCTGAAAGGAAAAATAAAACATTAAAAGAAATGATGAACTCCAAGTAAATTAGTTCTAATGCACCTAATAATTTGTAGGGTGAAGCTACATTATCTGCATGTCACTTACAAACTAGAATTCCTCGTAAAAGAAATGACAAAACACCTTATGAATTCTGGAAATGCTATAAACCTAATTTGATACATTTAAAAGTGTGGGGGTGTCTTGCTAAAGTTCTCTTGCCTGAACCTAAGAAGAGAAAAATAGGTTCTAAGGCAATTGATTGTATGCTTATTGGATATTCTAAACATAGTGTTGTATATAAATTTATTATTTTAAAAAGTGATGTGCTTGATTGCAATACTATTATTGTGACAAAGAATGTTGAATTCTTCGAACATATTTTTTCACTATGTGATAAAATTTCTCATGTACCTGTTGAAAAAAATTAGTGAGTCTACTTCTAAAATTGAAGAACAAAGGAGTAAAATGCATAGGAAAGAACATATTTTTTATGGAAATGATTTTCAAACTTTTCTTGTTGACCATGAGCCATTAAATTATTCTAAAGCAATATCTTCTTTTGATGCTAAATTTTGGAAAGAGGCAATAAAAATTGAAATTGATTCAATTATGAAAAATAATATATGAATTTTAACTGATTTACCTCCTGGTGCAAAACCTATTGGTTATAAATGAATTTTCAAAAGAAAATGTAATCCTGGTGGATCTATAGATAAATATAAAGCTCGGTTAGCGCAAAAGGATTTTATCAAAAATAAAAAATTGATTATTTTGATACATTTGTACTAGTGACTAGAATTTCTTCTATTTAAATTTTAATTGCCTTAGCATCAATTCATAAGCTTTTTATCCATCAAATAGATGTAAAAATAACTTTTTTAAATGGTGATTTAGAAGAAGAAATTTATAAGGTTCAATCTGAATAATGTATTATTTATGGACAAGAAAATAAAATTTGTAAATTAATTAAATCTCTTTATGACCTTAAACAAGCTCCTAAGCAGTGACATAAAAAATTTGATCAAGGCTTGATGAGAGGTAGTTTTTCTTCTATAAAAGTGGATAAATGTGTTTATACTAAAATAATAGATAATGATTATGTGATAATATGTTTATATGTTGATGACATGCTTATATTTGGAACCAGTTTAAATATTGTGCAGAGTACCAAATCATTTTTGTCTACTAATTTTGATATGAGAGATCTGGGTGAAGTAAATATGATATTGGGAGTTAAAGTTATAAGGAGTGAAGATGGTATAATGTTGTCACAAGAACATTATGTGGAAAGACTTCTTGAAAAGTTTGAATGTTTTGAGGTGACACATGTGGCCACTCCTTATGATGCTAATTCTCAATTGAAAAAGAATAAAGGTGACCCAAGTCTAAATATGCTCAGATTATTCGGAGTGTGATGCATTTAATGAATTTTACTAGGCTAGATATAGCCTATGTTATGTGTAGACTGAGTAGATATACTCATAATTCCAATAAAGAGCATTGGTCTGCATTAAATAGACTAATGAAATATTTGAGAGGAACAATGAATTATGGTATCATGTATAGTGATTTCCTTCTATAGTAGAAGAGTATTGTGATGCAAACTGAATCTCTGATTCAGATGGAACAAAATCCACTAGTGGATATGTGTTCACCTTAGGTGGAAATCCACTAGTGGATATGTGTTCACCTTAGGTGGAAATCCACTAGTGGATATGTGTTCACCTTAGGTGGAAATCCACTAGTGGATATGTGTTCACCTTAGGTGGAAATCCACTAGTGGATATGTGTTCACCTTAGGTGGAAATCCACTAGTGGATATGTGTTCACCTTAGGTGGAAATCCACTAGTGGATATGTGTTCACCTTAGGTGGAAATCCACTAGTGGATATGTGTTCACCTTAGGTGGAAATCCACTAGTGGATATGTGTTCACCTTAGGTGGAAATCCACTAGTGGATATGTGTTCACCTTAGGTGGAAATCCACTAGTGGATATGTGTTCACCTTAGGTGGAAATCCACTAGTGGATATGTGTTCACCTTAGGTGGAAATCCACTAGTGGATATGTGTTCACCTTAGGTGGAAATCCACTAGTGGATATGTGTTCACCTTAGGTGGAAATCCACTAGTGGATATGTGTTCACCTTAGGTGGAAATCCACTAGTGGATATGTGTTCACCTTAGGTGGAAATCCACTAGTGGATATGTGTTCACCTTAGGTGGAAATCCACTAGTGGATATGTGTTCACCTTAGGTGGAAATCCACTAGTGGATATGTGTTCACCTTAGGTGGAAATCCACTAGTGGATATGTGTTCACCTTAGGTGGTGGTGCAGTATCATGCAAATCAGCTAAATAGACGATTATTGCTAGATCAACTACGGAGTCAGAGTTTGTAGATTTGGAGTTGCATGGTTCTGAGGCTGAATGGCTAAGAAATTTCTTAGTGAATATCCCTTTGATAAAGGATGAATTGCCTCCTATGTTTATACATTGTGATTGTCAAGCCACAATCTCTATTGCGAAGAATAAATCTTACAATTGTAAGAGCAGACACATGAAACTGAGACATGACGTTGTTAAGCAACTGCTGGGAGATGATGTAATTTCCATTGATTATGTGAAGTTATAATTGGATTCGGTCAATTTATTGACTAAACTTGTGGGAAGAAAATTAATTCTTCAACCCTCGCAAAAGATGGGGTTAAGGCCAATATGATTTTCAATAGAGATGGTAACCCAACCTATGTGATTGGAGATCCCATGAAGTAGATTCATATGGATAATAACAAGTCGATATTGACACTACGCACTACTAGAGAGTACTTGAATTGCTTTTAATTATGAGTGATGAGTTATTAACTCTTAATGAATTCATAGTCCTTATGGATGGTGTATTTAAAGCAGTATACACTTGATGGATTCACCTATATGAGAAGTGGAATGAAGTCGCGCGCTCCTATGAGAATTTGTCCTAGTCTCTACAGCTCTCATGAATAACCAGGCACACGCACGACTTATTGGCGCAAAACAACGTTGAACAACAAAATATAAGGATTGATAGAATCTCTTACTTACAAAAGAATAATTGGTTCATAGTAATTTTATATTTCACCAACAATTCTGTAAGTTAAATTTTATTAATATAAGTTTGGTTCATAGTCCAAAAGACACCAAACCTATTGCATTTGATCATACAAAATTAAGCAAGTTGAGTCCTTCTATTTCAAAATTATATTAAAATATATGGGGGATTGTTGGATATTTTAAATAGTTTGAGTCATATTTTGAACTCTATTAGTTTATGACTTGAGTACTTATGTCATTGAAGTAGTAAGACAGTGTCTAGCATGACTCAAGTTTTGTTTATACATTGTAGTCGTATTTATTCTAATTCTTGTATTATTATTTTGATATTATATGTTCCCATCTACGTATATTTGCCAACAAAGTCATTAGGTGCTTAAATGGTATTCCAGGAAAGGTTTGTCTGCCAGATATGTGATGAAAGTGGACCTCCGAAAAGCCTATGATTTTATTGAATGAGAGTTCTTGAAAAGCATGCTAGCAGAACTTGGCGTCCCGTTCAGATTTATATAATGGATCATGGAATGCATTTCAATAGTGTCATACTCCTTGGTTATTAACAGAGGGCTTTCAATAAAGAGGAATAAGGCAGGGACCTTTTCGTGATTGCTATGGAATACCTGTAAAGAAAACTGAATGAGGTGCATATTTCTATGGAAAGTACCTTGGAAGAGCCTAACAGGGCATCCATCCACAACATATATAGGTTCTTTCTACTAAAGAGGCTTGCTACAGTTGACAGATTACAGAAGTTCGCATAGATGCATATTCTGTCAAACTGCTCATGAAAAATGAGACCACTTATTCTGTGAATGTACTGTTACACAAAGCCTTTGGAAACATCACAACCCTTCCGAAATGTCACAACATTTCATAAAAGTCACAACTTTTTATAATAGTCACAACTCTTCATAAAAGTCGTAACTTTCCGTTAAAGTCACAACTCTTCATTATCCATTCACACCTTTTAAAACCCCACATAATAGTCTTTAAATAGTTTAAACTTAAGGGTTTTTTTTAGCTTGACATATATTTTACCAAATTAAAACCTATAAACTCCCAGGCATGACCATGAAGAGAGCAGAAGGCAATTATCATAACAAAAGAATGTTTGAATTCGGGGAAAGAATTGGGTGGGAATTGCAGAATGTAGATGAAAAGCTGATTAATGACTTCTGCAGCAGAATCGGCGTAAAAAAACAGGTTTTAAAGGTATGGTTGCACAATAATAATAAGAAGAAAAATCAACCCACAACTGATACATTGCCTGAAGGTGCTATTCACAAAATACTCTCTAATCTTAATTATGTAGAAGCATCACGGATGACGATTCTCTCCAGAACATGGCTACAAGCTTGGTTGACTAATCCCAACTTGTTATTCGTAGCTTGTTCAGGGGCGGAGGAGAGGGCGGAATGGAGTACCAGAGG